GAGAGGCGGGGGGGAGGAGGAGGGGGGCAGCTGAGTGCCTGCGACGAGGTCCCAGAGCCGGATGGTCGAGTCCATCGACCCCGAGATGACCTGCGGCTCAAGCGCCTGGCAAAGTGGCGGAGCGAGTCAGGGGGCCCCTGCCCGAGGCACACCGCCCTACCCTCTCGCCGCAGCCGCCTGCGTCGCCAGCCCGACCACAGTCTGGTTGTGCCCCGTCAGCGTGTGCACGTTTGCCTTTGTGCGGATGTCCCAGACGCGGACGACGGAGTCGCGCCCTCCCGTGCAGAGCAGGTCGAGGGTGGGGTGGAGGGAGAGGGAGTAGACGCCGCTGAGGTGGCCTGCGACGTGGGAAGGAGGAGGGGGGGGGGGGGGAGGGGGGGGGGGGGGGTAAGTTGGAAGGGAGGGGCGGCCCCAAAACGGGCTGGAGGGGGAGGGCTGGAGGGGGGTAGCATGGAGGGGGGGAGGGGAGGGCTGGGGGTGGGGCTGGTTGCGGGTTGGGTTGGGCTCTTGCCGTGGTAGTCTCGGATGACGCGGTTGTACTCCAGGTCCCAGCAGCGCACCTGCAGGACGGCTCCGGAAAGGCTCCGGGAGGGCTCCTCCACGGCAACACGCGAGGCGGCGGCAGCGCACCGCATTAGCCTCACATTGGCCTCCCCGGCTAGTCTCGGCTAGTCTCGGCTATAGTCTGGCGCCATCTTGTCCTCTCCGGCGGAGAAGAGGTAGGGCGAGCGGTCCGACACGGCCAGCCCTCGGATCGTCGAGATGTGCCCCGTCAGCGTCAGCTTCAGCGTCCCCGACGCCAGGTCCCAAACCTTGATTGTCCGGTCCGCAGAGCCAGTCGCATACCACTGGTTGGTCGGGTCGACGGCGACGCAACGCACCCAGCCGAGGTGGCCGGAGATGACGCGCATCAGCTTCCACGGCGCGTGCCACTCCGGCTTCGGCAGGTCATGCCTCGCCTCCCGCCGACGGGGAACCAGCCGCGTGCTGCCCGGCGGCACCGCGCTGCTGCCGCCGCTGCTGCTCGGCGCGACGACGGCGCCGCCAGCGCTGCTGCCCGCCCCCGGCCCCGTCAGCATCAGCTTCCCGCTGCCCGCCGCGCCGCCCGACGCGCCGCCCGCCGCGCCGCCCGACGCGCCGCCGTTTGCGCCGCCCGCCGCGCCGTTTGTGAGCAGCTTGGTGACGGCGGCACCAGGTCCGGCCCCGCTGCCGGGCGGAGGCATGTCCTTCACCATGCTGTACTCGCCCGCCACCTTGGCCGCCAGCTTGAGCGCACGCCTGTGCGCAGCCGCGGCCGGCGCTCAAGGGAGGCGTTTGCGCGGCGGGGGAGGAGGGCACATGCAACATGTGAGCGCGCCCCGACTCGAGCGGCGGCGGCCGCTGCCCGTAGTTGCTGAGGTACATGCCGTAGGTCCGCTTGAGCGAGCGTAGGCACATCTGGTGGACGACTTGGCGCGCGTCATCCTCGCCAGCCTTCTTGCGGGCAACCATCGCCACGCCGCACCACACCGCTCCAGCCCACCACTGACCGCACCCGGGGCTGTCTAAAGAAAAAGAATTCAAGAAACGAAGCCACTCGTAAGGTAGGCGACGACGCTCGCGGGCGGCGGCGGGCGGCGAGGGTCGATGTACCCTCCGTGAGGTGCGCACGGCGCTGTTCACGGAGCCGCTCCGGCTGTGAACGCGCTCAAAGACGACGGGCGCCCCGGGGTTGTGCGTTCATGTGAACGCACTCGACGAGCATGTGGACGATGAAAAAGAATTTTCCTGAGACAGAAACCGCCGGCCCCAACGTCACCTCACCTCTGATGACGCCCGTGTACGCTGCTCGGCGGTGGTTCGCTCTGCGCTGCGACCGCGATCACCCGCAGCCTCTTCGAGCGTCTTCCGCGCGAGGGTGGCGAGCGCGCGTCCGCTGCCGGCGAGCTTGAGGCTCGTGGCGGGCATGTAGTTGACGTCGATGACGAGCAGGGCTCCGCCTCCCAGCGGCGCGATCAGGTCCACCCCGAGCAGCGCGACGCCGAGCTCCCTCGCCAAGCTGGCCGCCAGCTGCGCCGCCTCGGGCTGTCGAGCAGAGGCCGCGGCGGCGGCGCCGCTGGCCGCGGGTGCGGCGGCGGCGCCGAAGAGCTCGGCGGGCGGTGGCGGCCGCTGCGTGTTGAAGCGCACGAGGGTCGGGCAGCCCGCGGGCGGTGGAGCGCCGAGGCGGAGGTCCGGCAGCGACGGGCGCAGCTCGCAGTGCGTCGTGTCTCCGACGCAGCACGCCTTGAGCAGGGAGGCGCCGTGCGGCACGTAGGCCTGCAGCAGCAGCGGCAGCGCCAGCTCCGCCAGCCCCTCCAGCCGCAGCACCACCGCGAGATCGTGCGACCTCGCCGCGCCGCACGCGAGGAGGGGCTTGCACACGAGGGGTGGCTCGAGCCCGGATCGCGCGGCGACCGCGGCCGCGTCGTCGCCCTCCCTGGCGATGGCGAAGCGGGGCTGGCGCGTGTGCGGCGATGGCGCGAGCGCGGCGAGCCGGGTGGCGAGCGCCGCCCGGTCGGCAAAGAGCAGGACTCGCTCGAGAGAGCCAATCAGCGGGAGCTGCGCCGAGAGGCGGCGCACGAGCGCGAGCCGTGCCTCGGCGGCCGCGTCGCCGCCGACCGACGCGTCGTAGTTCGATCGGTGGAGCACGACGCTGTCGGCACGCGCGGCCGCCTCTGGCCCGAGGCTCACGCCATCGACAAAGCGGACGCCGTCCACGGGTCGCGGAGCGGCGCTGAGGACGAGCGCGGTCACGGGTGCAGGGAGCACGAGCAGGCAGGTGAGCGAGTCGTGCTGATCGGCGTTTTGATCGGCGTTTTGCATGCGCATGACGGTGCTCTGGGTGGAGGCAGCGGCAGGGGTCGGGGCCGCACGCGCGGTGGCAGTGGGCGCGGCAGCGCCGCCCCGCCGCAGTGAAGGAGGCGGAGCCGACGGAGTCGGAGAGGGCCGCCGCCGGAGCACGAGGCTGCGCGGGGCGACTAGCTGTAGCCACACGAAGGTGCCGTAAGATACTTCACACTCAGCTCGGCGCGGCGGTGTGTGCGGCCGGTTCGTGTGCGGCCGCGGGCGGCGGGTGAGGTAGTTGAGCCGTGTGAACCCGAGCGGCATGCTCCTTGTGTCTGTTTGTCTCTAGCTCTCAACGGGCCAGGCGCGCACGAGCAGGCGCGCAGACTCTGCGCGAAAGTTTCTCATGCATGTCTAGATCCTTCTATTCTGGATGCGCTGGCCGGGCGCGACTACCTCTCTCGCGCGTTACTCTCACATGCGACGTGGCCGCCCGCGGACGCCACCGATGCCGGGCGCCGTCTCCGCGCGCGCGTACGGTAAGTTAAAGTTTGACGTGTCAGTCTTTCTTCTTTCTATTCGAAAGAAAACGCGCGCGGTGTTGCAGGCTCAGCTCTCATGAACATCGTCCCCAGAGAGGTGCCCGCCTGTGCGGGGGTTGAAGCTAGGGGAGGGTTAAAGAAAAAACAGGCGTTCTCGAGGTGGATATCCTTTGGCCGCGTTGGGTAGCGAGGATTGGTGTAACCCGAGCCACGGAGGCGTGTTTTCTGACGGCCGACCGTTAGTGCACGGAGTTGCCACATCTCCGACTGCCCCGGCTAGTTCCCAAGAAACTCTGCGATCGTACGATGTGTGACGCCTCCCTTGTGTGGTGGCGGCGTGCCGTCCTCCCATCCCTCCCTTGGGTTGTCTGTTTTCTTCCTTTCTGACGGCGTTGCTGTCTTCTTCTCTTTTTATTTTTTATGTGACGGCGGCGTCTGTATCTTACTGCGAACCGACACATCGAAAAAGAAAAAATCGGAAATCGCTCCCTCCTGATTTATCAGTTGTCAGAGTCGCCCACCTCGCCCCCTCGTGCCCCCCGCCACCGTGCACCGACCACGCACGCGCACCGCTCCCAGGTCACCCTGGCTATTGCTTTTGCTACCACTCTCGAATGGAGTGGTTTGGGAAGATGGTTGCGGACTCGAGCGCTCCGCCTGTCTCTGATGGACGGCCCTGACTATCCCTGACACACAGAGAGTCACTCTAACAGCACACAACACCCAGGATAACTGCGTCATGACCAGCCTGCCATGCGTCGCCGGTGCCGCAACCATTCATCGCTTTGCTTCTCCCCGAGAGAGGGTAGGTGAGGTGCACGAGCTCGATGAGTCGTGTGTATGTGTCGTTCATTATAAAGAGCGTTCGTGGAGTGCCGGATAATTGCGTCCCGATACCAGGTTATATCGTCCATATCCATCTCGTTCTTCCTATATTCGACGTTCTTGCTCATATGCGTTTCCGGGCTCCGATTCGTTTCCGATTCGTTTCCAGTTTCCCCTCCCTGTACCCTGACTGCTGACAAAAAATCTTTACGCCCTCTCTACATACATGTGTCGTTGTGCCCTTGTTTGTACTCTTGGCACCGTGGAGTGCTGGGGGGGGCGACAGGGAGGATGTGGCCTTGAGTTATGTGTACGCCAACTCAGGGTGTGTGGCAGCCAGCTGGCTGTGTGTCTTGTGAGCCTGTTTGTGTCTGTGTGTCGCTCGTGCGTGCCGTCATCATCTGTCCAGCGTCCACGCATAGTTACCGTGTTGGTGTCCAGTCCGAGCCTGGCTGTTCTTCACCTTACTACATACATACATACATACATAGTGATATCAACACATTTTTTTCGTTGACGTTGTTGGTGTTGAGTCAGTTGCATGGTGACGATTTTCTTAATGATATTTTGGGCATTGGGGTGGCGTCCGAGCAGCAACCTTACCTAGAGCCGTACCACACCCCCACACACGGCAACCGGGATGGCGATGAGACGTGTTTACCGACCACGCGGGCCACGAATGTGTCAGGTGCCCGGGGGGGTGAGGGGGGTGCGGACTCCTGCCACCCGATGTACATTAAGCCGCTCATCGGTTCAGTTCCAGAGACCTCCTCCGGGTCAGGAGCAAACGTTGCTGGCGGTGTGAGCGCGAGACGGCGTGGTGAGGCTATTGTTGTGGGGTGCGGGCTGCGTCGTTAGGCGTATGCGTGCACATGGTGCTGTATGCTGTGTGTGCAGGCAGGCTGGCAGTCTGTGCAGCAGAGAGCGGATGAACGCGCGCGTGCGGGCGTGCGGGCGCGCCTGCGCGGTGCCGGATCTGCGTCGCACTCGCGGCGCGTCCTGGTACAGCCGCTTGTGAGATGCCAGAAGCAGTGTGCAGATCCTGCACAGGGCGCAAAAAGGCGCAGGTGTGCTGGTGAGGTGTGCTGCGGCGCGCGCGTCGTGGCGTGAGTGGATATGCGGCTGGCTCTGGTAGTGCGAGAGGCGCGCAGCTGGTGCGGGCGGCGCGGGACGGCCATGGGGCGCCAGCACTGGGTCGCACTGGGAGTCGCCCTCCCAGCTCTGAAGAAAAGTAGCCAGTGCCCATGAATGATGCTGGTCTCCAGGTCCACGCTCGGAATTAGCCCGAGCAGCGCCTCGGCTGCGTCAATGTGGCTGTCGCGTTCCGCCTCGTCTACAATCATCTCGGCCGCGGCACGGAGGAGTATGGACGGGCCGGAGGCATCGTCGTCTTCGCGCACTAACAAAAAGAATTTCAAGGCTTGAATGCAGTCGTTGCCCTAGGGTGCGAATAAGACATGCGGCGGTACGGCCCCCCGAGGGGCGCGTTCGGCTCGGCTTGCGAGAGAGAGAGATAGGAATACCATGTTGGGACGCCGGGTTCCCCTCACAAGCAAAGACACAGCTGAAGCCGAGATCTCAAATAAAGACCCTATACCATTTGTCGGGCTGGTTTATCTCCGGTTTTGGCGGCAGTTTACCGGGTTAGCGCGAGCGCGTGGCCTGCCTCAGCACGGCATGCTGCAGTCATGCTGGCCACGAGCAGACAGCGCCTGTGCTGGCCATTTCGAGACATCCGCAAAGAACGCTAGCTACATGGGAGGGCTTCGTGAAGGATGGATTGAAAAACATTCGAACAAAGAAGAGGCGACGGGAGGAACCAACAGAGGATGCAGTGACGTGACACACACACACACACACACACACACACACACACACACACACACACACACACACACACACACACACACACACACACACACACACCGCTCACCCACGCGCACTGGGCCTTGCACATTTAATGCCGTGGGGCTCCTGTCGTTAGACGTGGAGACGCGAGGGTCGACCCCCTTGCCCCACCACCTCGTGTGTGTGGAGAAGTTTACCTTACCTTACCTTACCTTACCTGCTGGCCTTGCTAGAGCTGCCCGATGACTTGCAGAAGTACTGGGTCCGCCATCTCGACACGCCGACAGCCCAGCGTGCCGCTTCGCGCAGATTAGCCGGGGCTGAGCACTGCTCGTCCGTGTTCGCCTCGTCGTGGCAAAGGCTGCACACGAGGCGGCGCGGCAGGCAAGGACGCGAGGGCGCGTCGTGTTTACCAACAAGGGCAAGAGGTACATCGATGGTAACATTGAGGTATTCATGGCGACCGAGCCGCGGCTGCGCCGGATGTTTGCTGAACGCCTCTTGATGATCGCTGTGCAAGAGACTCGTGTGGACCTCGGCGCGGCAACATGGATGGACGGTTAAGTCGGTCTACGATCGACTCTGCAACCTCCGCCACCGCCGCATCCGCGAACTCCAGGTCACAGGCGGCCTCGCACCGTAGACTCGCACATCCATCTCACAAGCATCAGGCGTCGACCCACCCCGGGTCGCGTCTCGGTGAGTCAGAGGCGAGTTTGGCCGGTTTAGGGCGGTTTAGTGCTAAACCGAGCTCCTCGGCCAGGCAGACCATTCGTGTTTAGTGACCGTCTAGGCTAAACGGCGCTAAACCGCCCTGGGTTAGGGGGCGCTAAACCACCCTATATGAGCGTCATCTTGTAGTGAACAGGCCGAGTTCGCGGTTTGAGCGCCCAGCGCAGACCGACCGACCACAGGGGGGGTCCGGTCGGCGGCCGCGGAAGACCGCAGACCGGACGGGGGGTCCGGTCGGTCGGAGCGCAGACCGAGGGTTGGGTCGGTCGGGTTGGCTCGAGGGTCACACCGCACATGCTCGCCGCAGCTGTGAATAAATTAGTGTCTCTATTAGTATCTCTAACTGAGTTGCAGTATCTCTAACTGAGTTGCTCATGGAGGGGCGTCCAGCACCCGGATCGATTGCCATTCGCAGGCCATTCGCTGTCGCTTGAGGAAGCGACTCGCGGAAGCCGATGAGCCCGGTGACGGCGGCGGCGATGTGTCGATCAAGTCTCTCTGGCAAGTCATCGTAGTCATTGGAAGGGACGATGCGCGCGCGCACTGTGGAGAACTGGAGCGCTGCCAGAGCTTGTACACAAAGCGGCGGCAAGCAGGATCACGGCAAGCAGGATCAGGCCTGCGACTGCGTGGATGCTCCACATATGTGTGTGGAGTCGGGCTCGCTTGGGCCTCGGCGAAGAAGTCTCCTTGGCGCTTGGCTGCGTGACTAGTTTTCATAGTGAAAACCGGCGATTTCGAAGCGCCCGTGGCGATTCGCGAGAAGGAGGGAGAGCGTTTGATTGAGGGGGCTCACGGCAAGCGGGACACCGACCGAGGGGGGGGTCGGTCGTCACACCCCCCCGCCGAGAGAGCGACCGACCGGAGGGGGGGTCCGGTCCACCTCGGGGGCAGACCACCGACCGGCGGGGGGGTCCCCACGAAGTAGGGGGGGTGGGTACAAAATGACGCTCCTATAACCCACCCTGTTCGATAGGCTCTCATCGGAGAAACGCCTTGCTGCCGCCTGAATGAGGTGCTCCACACGCATTGCGGCGGCCTTCTCTCGAGGTCTCGAGATACACAGAGCGGCCAAGCATCCAGGAGTGCCAGAGACCCTTAGACACCATTGGCTTGGGAGGCTTTGCAGCGTGTTTCTAAAGAGCAAACAGACAACGCAGCGTGTTTCTTGTAATGACCAACATCCGACCATACCGTTTTCTGGCGGTCTATCACAAGCAACACAGCTGACCTTGGCCGAGAGCGGAGAACGCCTTGCAGCAGGCCGCCTGAATGCTCAGCCTCCTATCCTCGTTGCTCGCCTGCGACCCGCCCGACTGCGACCGTGCGGACCACGGGACCTGCGGCAATGCTTGCTGCAAGCTTTCCATCCACTTGAACAAGGTCGTCACCACAACGATTGCTGCAGCGCTGAACACCTCTCTGTCGGAGGGCGGGCCAGATGGCCGGTTTCGCCTGATGCCCACGCACGCCAATCCGCACGGATTTGCGGACCTGCGTCCGTACCACATCTCGCGCAGCGGCGGGCGCGAGGTCCACTTCCTCGGCCAGGCGTGGCACGAGACCGAGAAGCACACCTACAACGACACCGTCAACCTGCTGGTGATGAGCTTGGGAAAGGGCACGATTCTGGAGGCCTTCTCCATCAGTCAGGTGGGCGGCGCCTACGGCGACGACGGGCAAAACTTCAAGAACATAGCCGTGCTAATGAAGGGGCTGAAGAAGCTCGGGTACGGCGAGGCCGAGCTGAGCGCCATCGTTTCCGAGGCGGAGCACGAGGGATGCCCTCCGCCGGCAGGGGAGTCGGCACTCTGGGCGGCGGCTCCACGCAGCAGCGCGGGGGTCGTCTTGGGAGCCCTAGTCCCGTCCGTATTCGCGCCCGCCGCCGGGCTCGTGCTGCTGGGGCTCTATGCTGGAGCGCGGGCGGCGGCCAAGCGAGACGCGGCGCGCCAAGAGGGCGAGGCCGGCCTGCGGGCGGCCGGAGTGCCGATGGCGATGCGCTGATGGACCTCTGAGGCTAATTAGTTTTGAGAGGGATGGGGGAGCGGTAAGTGAATCACGTGTCGGGCTCGCCACCGGTGGGCCACCCCGGACTCGCGCGCGGGGCGGGGAGCGAGCGGAGCGAGAGGAAGAGATCCCCCCGCCGCCGGGGCCGGTCCGGGAGACCGAGCAGGCCAGAGCAGTGGCGCGCCCTCTGTGTAGATTCTAGTCGTGTATGTGTGTGCCGCTTGTCATGTTGTCAGCGTAGTTTTTGTCTCGATTGCGAGCCGGGGCCGCACACCGGCGCTCGAGCGGCGCTACCCGAGAGCGCGCGGATCCGCTCACGGCAAACGGAGACAAGGACACGTGTACACCACCGCATGCCTTACATCATGACCGGACTCTGCGCGCGAGGTACGCAGCGGAGCCTGCCCTGCGGGCCCTATCACGGCGCGAGGTTGCGCCGCAGCTTGCATCCCTCAGGCGGATGCGGGCAAGCCGCGGGCACGCAGCAGCGCGTTCCTCAGGCGCGAGTCGACGTCGCGCCTCGGCCGCTGCGCCGCGGACATCGGCGCGCCCAGCGACGCGACCGAGTTGGTGAGCAGGTTGAGCACAAAGAAGGCGGCGATCGGCGAGATGTCGAGCCCTCCGATCGCAGGAATGACGCCGCGGAAGAGGTTGAGGTACACGTCCGAGATGGTGAAGATGGGACGGAGGAGCGAGACGCCCTGCGCCTGCGGCACCCACGAGAGCAGGATGCGGAACGTGATGATGCCGCCGTACAGGCTCAGGAAGTTGAGGCCGCCGTCAACGAGAAGCTCGCCCGCGGCGCTGTCGCCGACGACGAGCGCGAGCGACGGGCTAGCGCGCATGGACTGGCGCGGTAGGGTGAGCGGGTTGGCCAGCACGTTCAGGTGAGCCGACGCCAGCAGCGGCGCGATGGCGAGCACCAGCAGAGAGAGGCGAGGAGACATATGGGGCAGATGCGCTGTGCCCTGCAAGCGACACTTCACAGACCTGTTCACGAAAAATCCTTGTTATTTGCAATCGCTGACGTGGGATCTACCTCGTCTACGATTTTGAACGAGTGGGCGGTGCAGGCTGTCTGTTTACAGGCGCCGTCCGCCCGCGCGCGCGCCGACCCAACTCCGAGCACGCTCGCTCGCCGCTGGGCGGCGCGCGTCCACACTGCGTCGGCAACACGACGCAGGAGCTCGCTCACTGCTGCTGCGGCGGCGGCAGCGACGGCGACTGCGAGCTGACGGCTGACGGCTGTACGGCTGTACGGCTGACGGCTGGCGGCCGGCGGCTGCGGCGAACGGCGACGGCTCGGTTCGCGTTCGCCCCGCGACGGTGCGACTGAGCCTGCCACGCTCGATCTGGGAGCCACTCGGCGCCAGTTCGAGCGGCGGTCGGCTCGGCCACTGCGGGTGCGACGCATGATAGAGCTGCTGGGCGCCGCATCGTGTACTACCGACCCACGCCAAGGCGCGGGGCGGTGGTGCTCGCCGGCGCTCGCGGTGCTTCGGTGCTCGAGCGCGCTCAACATTGTGGTCGTTCAGGGCGGCTCGCACAGCGCCCGCACACACACACACACACACACACACACACACACACACACACACACACACACACACACACACACACACACACACACACACACACACACACACGCAAGGGCGAGGACACGCGCAGGGGCCGCACCTCTAGCGAAGCCCACAGAGTGGGAGACTCCTATCACCGCCCTGCCACCCACGTGAGCCTTTTGGCCGCCTCTGTCAGTGTGCCCGTGGTAGTGAGAGACTGCTGGTGAGAAGCCGGAGGAAGGTCGCTAGTCGAGAGAGATCGCCAGTGGAATAGGGAGTCCACCGTGCTGCGAGCCTGTCGCTGTCCCTTGTCAGGAGCAGGAGAACTAGGAGAGCGCAACCAGTAGGAGGCCCGCGCCTGCCCCCGTGCCGCCGGGTGCAACCTGTCCTATACGAGAGAGGAATCCCTGGGACCCTGTCGTGTGGGTGAACCCTGCCCAGCCCCCCTCCGTGTCGTCCGTCCTTGCTCTTGTCCTTTCGAGCCTCCCTTTCCTGCGGAGTCTCGTTGGCCCTCTCCTCCTTTCGCTTCTCATTTTGCCTTTCCCGTCTGTCGTTGCTCTCGTCCTTTCGAGCCTCCTTTTCCTGCGTAGTCTCGTTGGCCCTCTCCTCCTTTCGCTTCTCATTTTGCCTTTCCCGTCTGTCGTTGCTCTTGTCCTTTCGAGCCTCCTTTCCCTGCGGAGTCTCCTTGGCCCTCTGCTCCTTTCGCTTTTTATTTTGCTCACGATCCGCTTCCTTTTGTGCCTCTGAGCTTCTTTTCTTGCTGTTCCGGATGTACTCCTTCGCATGATGGACACACTTCCTCATTTTCTCCATTTTCTCCACTGGTTGGGTTTCACTGCCATCCTCGTTGGGCCATTCGTAGTCATCCGCTCCTTCACAGGCTCCCTTAGTCTCATGTTTACGCTTGCACTTGGCATAGTACTCGGTTCCCACGTACCAATCTCGCCATTTGTAAGCGTTTGTCTTCGTGAAATTAGCCAGCTTACCGTTGACCATTGGCCATTCGTCACCACCGCCCACTTGCTCAACGCGAGGCTCAAGGCAAGGCTGGCAACGAAATCGCAAAGGGGAAGTCGTCCTGCCGGCGATGTCTGTTGCGTGCCTCATTTGTTCCCACGCGCGTTCAGGGTCGTAAGGTTCGTTCAGGTACTTTGCCACGTACGCCTCATATGCTACCATCCGACGGTTGTAGCCCGCGACCGACTCTGCCGAAAACCTGTATGGCCAGAATGTCCCTGTGCCCGATGGCCAGCCATCTGCGTCGAGAGGGCAGCTGTCAAGTTCCTCCTCAGCTCTCCCCTCATTGGGCGTCTCGGAGCTCGCATAGGTTGGCGGCGGAGTAGGACCGTTCCGCTTGCGGGGGGGACGAAAGCATGGAACGCAACCTTCCGCTAGCAGAGCGAGCCTCTCGACGCGCGTCGACGAGGATGGTAGCCATTCGAACCTGCCACTCTCCGTTCTGAAAAAGCAGTACGAGCGTCCGCACGCAATTTCAAGGTGGGCGCCAAAGCCCCGCCGGTACAATCGCAGCTCCTTCCTCCGCAGCGCCTTAAACCGCCTTCGGCGCTTTTTTGCCAATTCGCGCTTCGCTTGAACTGAATTGCGGTGTCGCACGAAGTCCAGGCAGTGGTCGAGGAGCAAGTTTGTAGCAAGCGGGGTCGCAACCACGAGCACGGAACCGTCTGTTGCAATCAGAGAAGCGACCTTGACACCTGAGTGGAATGCCGCGATACCGTGCGTAACCAACAGCGGGTCGTTGTTGACGAGTGGCGTGAGTACCATCAATGTTGGCACCATGGCAAAGGCGCAACTCTGAGGTGACTTCACGAGCATGCGCACCCATTTGACGCAGAGGTATCCGACAGCCGAGCCGGCTTCGTAGCCGCTGAGAAATGCAGAGTTGCCGCCGAGGGAGACCAAGCCCGGTGGCAATCGGAAGCATCGTGATCGAACGGTGCAGAGCCACTCAAAGTACTCCGTGCGCTCATCAAGAAGCAGGTATCTATGGCTAGCCCAAGACGAAGCTGAGTAGTAGTATCGGGTAGCGTTTGAAATCAGCTGAACTTGATTTCCTTCCAGCGCCCAATGCCGCACCGAAAGGTGTGTTCCGACAAGCCGCAATGGGGCAACATGACCTGGTTTGAGCTCCCAATTTCGCAGCGAAAGGTGTGCATCGAGATTCAGCAACGGGGCAAGTCCTTCAGGCCAACGCCAATCGCAATCGTTTCGCAGTTGGGGCGAAGTTCGGTCTTCCTCTTCGTAATCGATCGGCGGCGAGAGGCGGCGAGTGGTGACGCGAATTTCAACCGAAATCGCGCCACCCTTTGTGCACTTTGAGCAAGAGTCACTCCTCGTCTCTCGCAATGTTGTTGTGACGGTTGAATTTTTGCCGATTTCTGTAAGCGTCCATTTTTGAATAGGTTTGAGAACCACCGAGTCCGAGGGGTACGATTCCACATAATTCATCCGACGGAAACGTGGCGATGGCACCTGATTCGGGGCGCAGTGGGGGGGGGGGGTGAGGATTTGGTTCTGAAGAAGGTGGGGCGAACCGAGGGGGATGGGGGAGGGTCACCGTTTGGGCGAGCCAAGGCTGTGGCGCCGACGGCGGCACCCTTGTACGAGGCTGTGAGGGGAGCGGCGGCGAGAGGGGGGGCGGCAGCGACGCAGGCGAGCCGCACACGCGCGCGACTGAGGGAAGCGCGGGCGGCGGGAAAAAGGAGAACGGCGGCGGCGGCGAGGCGCAAAACGGGGGCGGCGGAAGTGGGGGCGACGGCGGCGGCGGAGTGAACGGCGGCGCGCGCACGGACGGCGACGAAATCGACGGCGGGGAGGGGCAGGGCTGCATGGCGGCGGCAGGCGCGCGCACATTCGTCGTGTTTTCGCATTGGCATTCCACGTGCTCCTCGGCGACCTGCGTGCGCGGGAACGGCAGGGGTCATGTCGCGCGCACCGGGCGGCGCCGTGCTCGCAGCAGCCGGGATCGCGGCAGAGTATGGTGGAGAGCTCTACCCGCGCACCTGCCCAGCGATGAGCTTGACGCCGCTTCTGGCAGGCGAGGCAGGGATCTCGGCGACGTTGGAGAGCGGGCGCACGATGTCGTGGGCGACGCCCGTCCGCAGCCACGTCGTGGTGACGATGATGGCGAGGAGCATCACGGTGGAGAGGAGCGTCCCGGCGCTGCTTGGGCTCGCTCGAGTTTCCGGTCTGGGCGCGGCGCGGCACGGGGTTTTTCATTTATCAGGGCTTGAAGGTGGACCTCCAAGAATTCTTGTTACTACACCGGCTGGCAAGTATGCCGCCGTACGCGCGCCTGCAGGACGAGGACGAGGCGCCTCCGCCGCCTCCTCCTCCACCTCCGCCCGAGGAGGAGCTCCCGTCGGACGCGTCCATCTCGGTGCGCCTCGCCCACGAGTCGGCGCGCGAGCTCGAGATGCGCGGCCGCTTCCAGCTGGCGGCAGAGGTGCTGGCCCGCGCACTCGCCGACGAGGCGCAGCGGATCAACCAGGGCACGCTTCACAACCTCGATCTGACGGACGAGACGGCGGCGTACCAGAGCCGCAGCGTCTACCATGCCATGCAGGCGCAGCGGGCGCACGTGCAGGCGCTGCACCGGCGGCGGCTCCGGCACGCGTCGCCGTGGCAGAAGCGCTCTGGCCCGGCGCTGCTGCAGTGCTGCATCGCGGGCGTCGCCCGCGGCGCCGGCGACGAGATGCCGACCCCGCGCCGCACGCTCGAGGACCTCGCGAGCCGGTGGCACCTCCCGCCGGCGCAGGTGGAGGAGCTGTGGCGCGAGTTTGTCGAGGCGAGGGAGGCGCTGCCGCGCGGAGAGGTCTGCCTCACGGACCCGACGCCCCGCGCCGCCCCGCGCCCCACAGGCGGCGGCAGGCGAGTACACGCTGCGACTCGGCCGCGCCACTGCTGCCGGCCTGCCGCAGAGGGCTGGACGGTGGCTTGTGACTTGCCAAACACATGTCCTGCAGGCCGCGCCAAGGCGACCGTGCTGCGGCACGTCGCTCCCGAGGTGCAGCAGGCGACCTGGTCGCTGGTGCTGCTCGACGCCGCGGCGAACGACCTCGTCGACGACAGCGACGGCGAGGGCGGCGCAGGAGGGCTCAACTTTGAGGAGCCGGCCGCCGGCCGCCGCCCCGCACCACGCCCTTCTGCCTCTGCGCTCCGCCACGCCTTCCGCGCCGCCGCCACCGTACGGCCACCTCCACCCGCCTCCGCCTCCGCCTCCGCAGGAGTGGCTCGTCTTCCGCAACTTCGAGGCCGCCTCGCCTCGCCCGCCCTTGGCCACCTCCCCGGCCCTGGTCCCCAGCAGGCAGCTGGTGTAGCAGGCAGCTGGTGTCCCTCCGTAGGACGCCGAGACGCTCGAGGAGCAGTTTCGCTTCCTGTGGGCGCTGTACGACCGCGACGGCGCCACGCACTCGCCCCGCACGGCCTCGGCCCCTCCCAGAGCCCCCCTCCCGCACCCCGCCCGCGCTCTGCCGTGGCCCAGGCGACGGCTTCCTGTCGCACGACGAGCTGCGCGCCGCCCTGCAGCTGCAGCGCGCGCGGCTCGGCTGGGACGACGCGTACACGCAGGCGCGCGCCGGAACGAGGGGTGGGGCGGGGCTGCTCGTGGCGGCGCAGGCCCCACGCACGCGTCGCCCCTCTGCCGCAGGGGTGGGCGGCGTACGTCCTCGATGTGGTGCCGCACGAGCCGCGAGGCATCCGCCACAAGGAGCTCTTCAGCGCGCTGCGCGACTGGTCCGAGCTGCGTCAGCTCTTCTCGGCGCGCGAGCCGTCCGAGGCGCTCCGCGAGGCGGCGCCGCGGGCGGGCGAATGGACAAAGAACGTCTTCGACCTCTTCCGGAGATGAGTGCCCTTTGGGCGCGAGTCGCGCTAAGGTGCGGTGTTTTTGTGTGAGTGTGTGAGGTCGACTCTTTTATGGATTATGCACACGCGTATTATCGAGAAGGCACTCGCTCTCGCTTTCCCCTCTTCCACGCTTCCCCTTTTCCACTCTTGAGCCGCTTCCGTCGCGCTCAACTCTCCCCGACGACGGTCGGCGCTGTTGAGACACACCGGAGACATACCGCCACTCTCTCTCCCGTCAGGGGCGGGGAACCCGCAATTTGAGATGCTGAGGGCATTTTGAGTTGCAAAAAATCAATTTAGATTGCATTTTTCAATTCAGAATGCCGAGTTGACTTTTCGCATTTCAAGATGCACACCGCATTCCAAAGATGGTCCACGCATTCCAGGATGCGTCGACCATCCTGGAATGCGAACTGCATTCGTGAATGCGCTAGCATCTGGAGTTACCCCTTTGCATTCTAGGATGCTCCTTGCTATTTCAAGTTGCCTTCCTTAACCTGAGATGCCCAGCATTTTGGCCAATGCCGCATGTCGGCGGGGCATCGGGTAGGCTGCGGCTCGGCCTGCGCCTCGGCAGTCGTTGCCGCTGCGCAGCTGGATATGGTGGCGCACGTGACGTGGCCTGTCGTTTGCATGTTTTGCGGTGGCAGCCCATAACCGCACGAATTGTGCATGGCCCTCAGCAATCCGTGTTCGATCGGCAACGCCCGTGCCGCTGCTCTGTGTCTCGTTAGAATAGGCAATGAAAAACGGCGCCCGCTCTCGTCGCATGTGCGCCGGTTGACATATCATGTATGTGGCTCTTTTATGGATAACAAGGAGTCTCGTTTTCAACTTTTTCTTCTTGTATATGAGCCCGCAGCCCGCGGCTTCCTCGCGCGTTTCGCGCTCCTTAACGGTCTCTCTCTCGCCAGCCCTCAACTGTTCAGTAGAATTTGCTGCAACTGGGCAGATTCATGTGGTATCATGCTGTCCTCATCAGGTGTCTGTGCCGCAGCGTAGGCGAGACTCTAATCTCTATGCCTCGGCACCCCATCGAGGCAGCTCGCGAGGTGAAGCTTGCCAGCAAGGGTATTGTTGCCTACACCAGCAGGCAAGGGAGCACTATGGTGTGAGCCTGCCAGCACTGGTGCGCAAGCCAGATCAGTACAGTCGTACCGGGCAGCAATGAAGCGCGTTGGGTGCCCGCGCCGGATGCAGTGCTAACGCGGCAAGCTTGGGCCGCATCAATCAGCAGATGCGTGAGGCGGTGCGGAAACCGTTGTTTCAAGGCCACCTGGTAGGCTCACTCCTTCCCATCCCAGAGGTAGAGGGCAAGGAAGGTAGTCGATACCCTCGCCACAGATGGACATTTTCATTCAGTGTTATGTGCTACTTTCAGAAAAGAAAGAAAGAAAGAAAACAGGCAACCCAAGGGAGGGATGGGAGGACGGTACGCCGCCACCACACAGGGATTTTAGGGGAGAAGTGTGGTGTTAGCCGTCGCCCACCCTCGGGCGTCTACCACTTCCTATCTCTCTCCGCAGTTTATCACCAATTCTTGCAGCGACCTTCATGCCACCTCGCATTCTTCTCACTCTCGTCGTTCTCTCTCCTGCTGTCTCTTCCCCTGACTCATCGCTCTCCTCGGCCTCGTTCTGAGACGCCGCTGTCGTCTGCCGATCTCTTGCTCTCGCTGCTTCTCTCGCCTTTCTGCGTAACTCCGCTCTCCTCTCCGCGTATTTTGGTCCCTCGAGTTTATCGAGCATTCCTCGCGCAAGGACCACATTTCTGACTCCCACTGCGAGCATATCCCGCCCTGTCATGTCGTTGCTCAGGTCCACTCTCGTTTCGAGCACTTTCAGATACGTAGGAGGACTCTGCTGACGGGGTATTTTAAAGCCCAAGAAAGAAAGAAGCAGGATTGTAACGCCCTCCGCGCCCACGCACATTGTTTTCCGCACTTTCCGCATATTCCGCAATAGTAAACGGCAATTTGGGCAATTGTCGGAGTCTCCCATTCTGTAGCGTCAAAGCGCAGCTGCCTCGTGGCTCGTGGCGCATGGTGCATCCTGCCCGCTCCCCCGCAGCTACGCTGCTGGTGATTGATGTCGCACGCGCATGCCCACCCTCACGGCACCCACGCCATACCCGCGCGCTGACAACACATACCTGACATGCGCACTGCACCGACATCCAGCCAGGCTCCCGCGTCGACGTTGACGCTAACGAAGAGAGGCGCGTTGAGCCGGCGCAAGGAGCACGTCTCACTCACACCACCACTGACGGCCTCCCACTTCTCGGCCGCAGCTTTTCACAACGTGGTACCTTCGGCTCCTCGTCGCTAGCATCATCAGCGAGTACACCCTGCCTCTCGCCGTTTGCCCTGGCGAACGTGGCCGTGCTGATTGTCTACCGCCGCGTGGCTGTGCGAGATCTAGACGTGCACACCCCGCACGCCACTCGGCTGTGCTTGCGCAGCAGACGGCGTGGGCGGCTGCGCAGGCCCCTGGCCGCGGAGGAGGAGGCTGGCCCGTCTGGCGGTGTGCTGGCGGTTGGAAGTAAGAGGG